ATCTATTTAACTGTGGTGATTTAGAGATTAATACAGTTACATTGGTGCACCCCCCCCCAGAGTGGAGACCATGCAGCATAAAAGGGGCATAATCAGTTTATCCTGACAGTATATAACTTCACTCCATTAGGAATAGTATTGGTTTAACGATATTAGTATAAAATCATTTCCTGACTGAAACAGTTAATGGCCACAAAACCTTGAGAAAGGATGGGCTGGACAGGAGCGGAGGAGAGGGAAGATGAGAAAGACAGTGGAGGGAAAGGCCTTAAAGTTAAAGTTAGATGGAGGAACCTTTTTTTAAACTCTGTTATTGACACAGCCCTGTTAGTGACAGTAAGTGAGGCTGATCCGAGCAGGATACCCTTTGCAAATCCTGGCTTTTCAAAGGAACCTCTGGTTTTGAGATAATGGAAGCTCAGAACTCCCTGTCATGGAACATAATGTGAATTGATTTTGCAAGGCTTTATCTACACAAAGTTGCACTGGTTTAATTAAAGGTGTGCTTTTAAATCAATTCTGTTAATCCAGTCCAAGCTCCTGTGTGGACACTCTGAAATCGATTTGAAACTGTCTTGTGCCAACTAACCTTAATTTGGCAAAGAACCAATTTACACTGAACAGGCACCAGTTTTTGCTGATCCAAAAATAGGGTTAAAAATAAATCTTATTTAAAATGATAAGATTTTGATTAATTTCTCTGTTTCTGCCCTAGCTATGCCAAGCTATGCTGGCCTCCAGTAGCTTAGTCCATCTGTTTAGGAAAGAGATGAACTCACTTCTTTGCATCTATGTGTTTGGCTTTTTGACAGATACAGGTCCTTGCAAAAGGATACAGTGTAAAGCACTGTGAAATTAGGGAGTTTAAAACCAAAAGGTGGCAGGTGTAAGGATGTAAGGTGTAAGTGATGAACTGTAGAGACCACTTTCACTCTCCTTTTCTGTTTATTTTGTGTCTGTAATGCAGAAAGGAGATAAGCAGTGAACCCCCTTCATGATCAGTAAAAGCGCTCTCATGCTGTAGTATTGGGGAGCAGCTTAAATAACCCACAATTAGTGTAGGGGTGCATGTGAAATCAGGCCAACATTATCCTGTCAGTCTAACATTGCTGGAACCCAGACAAAATCTCTCCTCTCTTAAGGGTCTGGCAGGGGATAGAAAGGATTTTAAAGATCTACTGCAGACTAGCTGTGTGGAAATTTCCCTGAGTTTAAGGATTTCTGTGCAATCCTTTCCAATCATTCACACTCCACTAGGCCGCAAATGAAGGCCTGCATTTGAGTCCACAGCTTACAGAAACGTACCCACGTTAGTTCCACACCTGCGAAACACATGGGAAAACGGGCAGTGAACCTGTTACCAATGTGCTGCTGAGTACACGTCTGTATTTTCTCTCGTTCTACAGGCACAGCCAGACACAAAATCAGAAGCTGCACAGCTACATCCAAGAGCCAGGGCCTGATCCTGCTCTAGGTACAGGAACCTCCGCACCTGCCATCCCAGGAACAGGGCCAGGCTGTGGGATGTTTCCCTGCTGATATTCAACCAAAGCCTTTTCAGTGATGACAGCCAAAATATTTCAGCTCCACCCAGAAGGAGAACAAAACGGTGCAATCCTGCAAAGCATGGTGTTCCCCCAGCCAAGCTCACATATACTGGGAGCTAGAGATACTCAGTATCTCAAGCGGGTAATCCTGACGCAGAGCTCAGCAGTGAGTAAGTACCTGAGTAAGTGGCCTGCCCTTGCTTAAAGGTGATTTTTCAACCTTTATCCTTTGTGTCAGTTATGTTACTCCAAAAGCTCAAGCATGAACTCAATAGGACTTAAAACTATGTAGATGTGCTTAGATTGTGAACTATAGCGCTAATTATTGAGAATAGTGGCCCTAATTATTAAGTTTTATTTTAAACCACTTATAACTATGCATGACAGAGAGTGGTCTGTATCCTTGCACTCCTCTGAAGTGCTGCTAACGGGTAATGTGCTACTTTACTTTCTCTTCAGTTCAACAGATTTATTTTCAGAGTGAATCCTGTGTGAATTTCTCCTGAATCTTTTTTTCCTGGTGAGACTATATAATCCTGCTGTCTTGTTAGAGCAAAAATCATCTATGAGACTTCATTCAAAACAAATCCCCTGCCAAACTATTTCTCTCTTTTCATTTGGACAGTTATCCTTCTGATAATTTATAACGAAAAAGTTCTTCCGTTGTCTAGTCCAACCTTGTAAAGAGAACAGTACCAGTCTGACAGCAGTGTAAACAAAGATTCGCAATCTTAACAGTGCTGGAATATATTGGGTAGTTTTTCATTGCATATGGAGGAAAACCAGCAATACTGCAGCAGTTCCGTGGGAAAAAAACACTCAGAGATATGGCTAGTTGTGGCTCATTCAGATTATAAACAATTTCCATATATAAAGAGCACTTTTCCAGACGCAGCTGCAGTATTTTAAGTCCCCCTTCCCTGCCACTACTAATAAACTGCACCCTAATGCATTGCATCTACTGGCATTAGTCTGACTACACCTACTGTCTGTAATGCGATGCCATTCATCAGCATGGTAAGCTCAAAATTAAGTGATTTTCCTGGAAACTGTTTCTTAGCAGCATCATTTGATCTGCTGTAGTTAAAAAGCCATGTCACTGGTTGCATTATAAATTCCATTTTACAATCGTCCTTTTTTTTTGGTTGGTTTTTTTTTTTATAAATTAATTGTAGCTTTCCTCTAGGCTTAATGCTGGTATAAAAGGTTTTGGCTGATGAGTAAATCTTTTCCAAAGACAAGAATTTTCAATTCTATCATTTTTAAATAACAGTGGCATAAAAAAACCCTCACAGGAACAAACTTGTTTAAGTCAGCTACACAAATGAAAGTTGACAAGTGATTAGCTCCTTCTGGGAATGAATTATTTTCTATGTTTTAGGGGGAAAAAATGTCATCAGTGATTTTGAAAGTGGCCTGAAGCATGGGCTTTGAAAGTCTAATACTCCAAATACCAGTTTAAACAATTACATATTTAAGCAATTGTTATAACAGGGAGTTGGCATGACAAAGCACAAACTTAAAAAAAAAAAATCTCTTGTACAATGCAAGCAAGCATGAACACTTGTAAAAACTCAGCAGTGTACTAGTAATTGTATTAGTCATCCTGAAGGTCCTACAACAGTGAATACATCAGTTTCTACCTTTAAAACTTAAGCATGGTATATTGAACCTCTGGGGCAGTGCACACTCGTGTTGCTTGCCCTACAGGGTGGAAATGAATTTTTCTGGTTGTCTTCCTCCTGTTTCTTTCTATGAGATGAAAGAATGAGAAGGGATCTCTTTTTTTTTTTTTTTTTTTTTTTGGCTGGCTTCTACTTTGAGAAGACAGAGTTAAAATTGGATCTGTATCATTCTGCTTCTCACTGGCTATGTCAGAGTCACATCACAGCAGACCCATTTACACCTGTTCCTCTGATTTCTCTAATTCTAGTTTCCAAGGAAAGGAAATTTAGGACTGTGTACTGGGTTGGAGATGCAGTGCAATTTGGACAGGTTCCTCAACTGGACAAATGGACGCTACCACACACAGAGGCAGATACAGCCTCTGTCAGGTGTGGCTTGCTCCTGGAAATGGAGGGGTGGGCTGCAGATGATCATTATTTGCTTCCTAGACCACATGGCAAGGAACATTTGTTTCTTTTTTTTTTTGGAATCTAATCACATCCTCTTGGATCATAGTCCATATAATGCATTAAGAGTTAACAAAGTTTTTCAGAGGTGACAGCTTCAAATCTGTCTACAGATCAGACCCTACAAGTTCTTATGCCATACACCTTCCCACCTGACCAATCAAAAATTATCTCACAAATTCTCATACGCTCTTATGACATTTTTGACAATTTATAGTCCAACTCTGCACATCAGTCTTAGGTATTTTTTCTCTGTGAAGTAATATATTTATGCTACTAGTTTTTTGGGTTCAAACCTACTGAACTGTAATCTTGTGGGAAACTCAACTCACTGCAGACATATTAGAGTATTCCTGTATGTGAGAATCATTCACAAGAATAAACTCCTTAAAATCTGAGCTAAAAGGCAGAGAAAAATGGACAAAGGACATTTATTTTTATGCCCTAACAATTAAAATATTGCACCTAGAAGATTTTAAAGGGTCTCAAATCCTCCCTTAGAAAAGGAACCCAGATTGATAAGTCTCTGTTTATTCAAATATATGATTTGGATGAGGAGTGGTGTGTTCTTGAACACCACTCTCACGAGGAAGACAGGATCTGCAGTGCAATGTGCTGCGTTCCTACAGTATTTGCAAGGAGGTAGTGGTCATGACATTTAAAACTAAGATGATAACAGGGAGGAACAGGTCACTCTAGCATGAAATGAAGAAACAGAAGTTGAATCAAAAAAAAGGAAAAAAGAGGGCCTATAAATTCATATGAAAAATAAGGAGGATTAGAGATAGCCTCCAGCTAGTGGGAAATAGTTCAGGCACCACAGAATAAATTTTATAGCCCTACAGGCCTCTCTGAAGATTTGTGCACTTCCTCTCCATGATGAATACTATTATTCCAAGAAATACTGCTGGCAGAACTTGATTTCCAAGCTAATATCGTGTTACAGGGCAACTGTAATTAGACATTCTGTGATGTAGAACTTTGGAAAAAAAGCTATATTCTTCAATAGTAAAAGAAAAATATGGCAAGTTCTGGGAGGACACTAGTGGACTTGGTTTTTCTGAATATACAGCTTTATGCAATTAGAATTAGGCAGAGATTTCCAAGAAAGGTGTTTATGTCTCACTCCTCATCCTGGTGGTTCCAATCAGAAAATTTGCTCACCGTAGAGATGATCCTTTCCATTCAATATCTTCCCTCACACAGCATCTGGCTTACTTGGTTGAGTAATTATTTTTCCTGTTCTGTGGTACAGGTAGCAGACAGATAAAGCCAACAATGCAGAAGACGTAATACTTAGATCATTAGACCTGACACTTACTTCATACTCCTCTTTGAATCCATAGCCTTCTGCACACTTCATTTGGGTGATGTGCTGTAGCAAGTCAGCCACACGGATAGCTGGATGAAGCTGTCCGGTCTGGTAGGGCACATCCACTGGATCTCGCTTCTTGTACGTATGGGATTGGACCAGGCTGCTTGTATCACTGACCATCGTATGGGTTTCATCTAAAAAAAAAGAGTATTTCATAATGTAGTGGCTCATTTTCACTTATTAATAGAAATATAAATTACACAGATTTCTAGAGGAATGGCAGAAATCTGACACCATCGGTATTGCTTCTGTCTGTGAAGGCTACAGAACAGTAAATCCATGGAGCAGTTTACACAGGGAAATCGCAAGACTGATTGGAATGAGGCAAAGTCCATGGTTCTACAATGGAAGCATTGCAGAGCAGTCCGAACTCTAATATTACTTTAAATATTACTAGCTGATTACAAACACATTTTAAATTAGGCATTTGGTTCTAAACTGCATAGAAGTTTCATTCTGAAACTTCGACAAGTCCCATGGAATGAAATTGGACTTGTATTCTTCTCAGATTACTGAAGTGCTATATTTTACACTGCAAATTTAGAGCAAATGTTTGGAGTGAGCAAAATAAAAAGATGCACAAAATGGCTTATGGTTTCACCAAGCTAGGACTGCAATGGAAATGTAGATCTGATACAACATTTGGAGACAAACTACGAGAGGACAAATGCAGAGGATCATCTGATCAGGAAAAATGTCTTGACTGGCTGCTGAACATGCTTTAGGACCACGGTATATCATGAGCCATCATATTAGGCATGGGATGTTATATGTAAACTGACATGCAAGCCAACAAACAGGAGAACCCAGTGGGCTGGTTAAAATTTTTATGAGACACATACTCTCCCAACCCTCCACATTTCTTCCATGGGGCAAATGGGCAACTTACCATTGATTGGCACTTTTAAGAAGATACATATCAGGAGAAAAAAAGAGGAGGAGAAAAAGGAAACAGGGCATAAGCAACAGTACTACATTAATAATTACAGGTAATTTTATGTTTGTAATTTAGTCTTTACAGAGTGATTTCCTAAATGAGTCAGATTCTGATCTCAGTTTCACAGTATAAATTAAATGTACTGAAACCAAGGTATCTTACTGTGAGTCAATTCACACAGATGCAACTGAGATCAAAACTTATACTTAGCAGTAAATAGACAGATGTGAAAGTGCACTCTACCTAAAGGAAGCAATATGACTTTCTTCCTGTTTAGATGGAATTTTAAAAATTTGTTCAGACTTGACAAGAGAAAAAAAACCAACCCAAATTCAAAGGTCCAAGTATCATAAATATTTTCTCTGTTTCCCCAAATCATAATTTTTACATATCTCAAAGACTTTTTGATTTTTAACTGAGATTGTTAATGTGGTGCTTTGACTTATTCAAACTATTCCTTTAGTGGCTGCACAGTAAACATAGCAAGGGGTTTATAAAAATACTACATTTATTAAAAACTTATTACTTTGTGAAAAATATTGTATGAAAGGGAAGCATTAAAATAATATTTCCACAATATTTTATTTCATATACTATAGTAGAAAGATCCACAAATACTCTGGATGAAAAGCTCCCAGATTCTCTTGCGCACACCAAAAATACTACCACACCTCATTAAAGGTGAGATTCTGGTCTTAGTGATACCACTGAAAATTGATGTCAAAGCCACAAAGCTCAATGAGTCATATTTCAAGGATGATTTTATGCTCTCTCAGTTCACACTGATACTAAGATACATGAAATCTGGTCCTCAGTAACCATACAGTCAATATGAACTGCGCATTTAAACCTAAACCAAAAATAACAGAGAAAAATTTATGGGTATGAGTATGGGCATTTAACTACTTTTCCTGTCAGTTTGCTAAGCTGATCTAATGCAGAGGAAAGGGATTCATCCTTTAGTCAAAAATTTGACAACTTCTGTCTAATGTGCAATAAATTTGTACTGCAAAGCACCTTGGGATGCATGGCATGAAGCGTGGTATACAAGTGTAGGTACAGTATGTTGCTGTTGAAATGGCACCTGAAAATTACAAGGTGGCTAAGACACAAAAGACAAAAAAAGTGTAGGAAGTTGATCATGATTTTTTTGGTTAGCTTATTTCAATTGTGGAAGCAGGTTAGAAAACTTGGGGGTTTTTTTTTGCAAACTACAGAATTCCTTGTAACACAGACTGTTAGTAACTAAGACGAAGGCAAAGTTATCAGATAGCAGGGTCTTGTGCTATGAAAGCAGCAGTTAAATCCTTATGAATTTTTTTTCTGCGAGTTCCTTTGTTTTAGAACAATTTTCCTCTCTCCATTTCTTTACCTCTTATAGCTGCATTAATACTATTTTCCTCTCTTCGGGAGTGATCATTTAAGTTGTTTTAAATAAAGTGCTTTCAGTCTTTGGTTTATATGGTACATTAGGAGCCATGTATATTATAATTTTTTGCAGGTATAACAGTCCACTGTTTTTCAGAGGGTGAGCTTCTCCAAATGCAGTGTTCATATGCAATGGGAACTTTGTTCAGCTTAAATACCCCTACAGCTGCAGTTCTACTCTCCACTTACTTACACATTCCCATAGAGCTGTACAACACTTATTAAATAATAATATATTTATTTACTAGTTATATGAACTCACAGTATGGAAGGTATCTGGAAGTCCAGCCCAATATCTTTTCGGGGCTGAGGCTCTTTTCTTTCTCCAATTCAGAAATATGCACATTGGTGATACTAGATACAAGACCTACACTCATGCTCAGCAACTATAAATTTAGCCAGTTATGTAAAGTGTTATTTTAAATCTGAAGCTTTCACTTAGGTTATTAGGGTAAGCATGAAAAATTTCCCTCAAATGTAAGAAAATTTCCTTGCATCTGAAACTGAGAAGTCAGACTGTTGCCTTTTGCATCATTTAAAGAATTCACCACTAATTGAGTCCTTTTTTTTTTTTTTTTTTTAAATTGGCTAAGAAGTTTCTACTTTGCATGAATAGTCCAAAGATCTTGCTGTACATAAATTTGGAAATGGTATGTTGTGGCCCTTCTAGAAGATTTTGAAAACTAAACTCAACCATTCACCAGATCTGTACCCTTCCCAGGAAGTCACACTGAAAAGTCCATTTAGTTCTAACTACAGGCCTGACCCAGCAGTCTAACACAACTTCTTTGCACATTGGAAGACAGCAAGAGCAGGCATTAGTTGCAATTAAAATCCAGTATTTTTTGGTAATAGCTATATTCTTCTACCAACTCAAGCATAGCTAATTTGATTTACCTCAGATAAAACCCTATTCCTATATAGACAGTCATAAAGACATTTTGGGAGAGAGATCTGGTCTGAATGAACACCACTCATAAAAGAGTACTAAATTTTTAACATGTAAGGTTACAAAAATATTAATTTTCCACAGTGAAATAACTGGAAGATTTTCTGAGATGAGTAAGCAAAGGTTGCTGTAGTAGACCATAAAATACACATCTAATTAATTCAAGGTTTTACAGACTTAGTAAAAACAAAGATTTTTTTTTTTCCCAGTGTGTGTTTGTCTGATATCTGAATTACTTGCTTAGAGATTATTTCTTGTGGGGAAAAAAGCTAACAAATAATTTTACCATCATCAGCAAAGGATCACAAAAAAAAATAAAAAATCAGAGAAACCGTTAACTAAAACTTAATAATCCAGATAGGAAATCTCAAAGTTTTTCTCCTGATAATAGTACTTTTCTCCTTGCCCACCCACAAGGTCAGAAAGAACATCTACTGGATGAAGCGTTGAATGAATGCTAAAGCACACAAAAAAAATCTAACATCTCAGGCAGTTAAAAGGCACTGCAAATTTCATTTGCATGCAGATTATTACATTGTTACAGCCACTACCGTTACCTTCTCCCAGATTTACATAATGTATAAAAATGTACAAGTTCGTTCTCCAAGTTATCACACTGAAATGCACTGCGCTAAATATTCTTTCACAATAAGAAATTTTCAAGATCACCTTCCTAAACTTCTACTTCTCCTATGCTTTGCCCTACTTTTACTTAAGCCTGTTTAATGTGCAGTTTAAGGGCAGGAATCAGTTAAGAGGTCTTATATTTTTTTATAGTGATTTGAAGAAAAAAGAGGAGAAAGAAAAATATTTGTTGTAAAAATATCAATCATTGTAAAAAGAGTAAATAGATAGGCTTAACATTGGAGTTTGAATTCTTGCTGAAGTGCACTGTTATATTTTGACTTATTATTTAAAAAAAAAAAAAATCTCCCTGTTTAGTTTGAAGTTAGTATGGGAAGGAGGTGTAAATGAATACAAGCCACAAGGCAGTTAGAGTTACTTAAGCATTGAAAATGCAATAGTGTCTCATGCTTATTTTTTTATCACGGTGCAGAAACCTCTCTCCTTTTGACATTGGACAATAGCAGGTTCTCCTAAATTCCCAGTGGAAATGCTTTACACTTTAACTGTATGGTTTTAACCTACAGTTCTACTGTTTCATTTTGTTCCTGTGACACCTGAGGCATAATAAACTATATACTCTGTCATGTTATCATTTTGCTGTTCAAAATACTATCTCTCCTCTGAAACTGCACTTTGACAAGCATGTCAGAAACCATGCGGTATTGTGAGAAGAAATGATAACTGGTGGATGGCCAAAACTGTATTTTGTCTGATTTTCTGTATCATGAATAGTCTAATTAGGAAAAAACCTAATTTTTAAGAAGTGACATCTTCAGTTCTGAGATAAAACAGAAAAAAAATGAGGGAAACTACTTCAATTGCTGTGATAATCAAATTCTTTTGTGTCACTCCAAATACATGCATAAACATTTCCTCAAAAATCCACTTGTAAAAAATTATTTTTCTTTTCTCCCCTGACTTGCACTATGACAGTAATAATCAAGCCTGATAACTGTCCTCAGCATTCTCGGTGTAGCCAAGCCTACCACCCCTCCCTTTAGCATAAAACTCCATTTTTTTTGCCTACTATTGTCTGTACCCCGAGAACTGTGACTTTCTAAATTACTTCAGCAATAAACTTTGATAAAGGGAAATGTTCTCACCTAAAATTGCAGTTGGCACAAATGGATCTGTCATACATCATAAGCAGGTCAATGCAGAAAAGGTAAAAAGAGAGAGAACAGTAAATGATTGATAAATGTTCCCGAGTTTTCTTTCAGTAAGCTACTGTAAGCAACCAGTGTGTTGCTTATATATGTATTAAATTTCTATGGCAAGAAGTATAATAACATAATTATATATGCTTTTATTATGAAAAGTTCTCTATAGGGTGGAAACCAAGAAAAAAATTGGTTACCTGGGTAATAAGAATTAGGCACTGTTGTGCTCAATGTGTTAGTTTTCATTGTAAATGAAGATGGTGAAGATACAGCTGCAAAGAGAAACAAAGCTGGTTAGAGACAGCTTAGTGACACGTGGCTACTCAAGCTGAGTGACGCGGCGTATGTGAGTGAGTGACTTGGTTTGGAGTCCATCCTGTTGTGTTTGTTGCACTGGAATCAGGACCTGGGGAAAACCAGGTGCACCTAGTGAATAAAATAGCTCACTGAATTTGATCAATTCTCTAAAGAGAAATGTCATCAGAGAAAGCATTTTGATTGGTGATGACAAATATACGTCTTAAATCACAAGATTAGAGTGAATACTGATGCTTGAATAAAGACATCACAATGACAACAGATGTTTTTGACATAAGCTTTGGTCATTAGTAAGTTTACTTAATAATACTGTAAATACTGTATATAAATATTCCACTATAGCTCATTTTTTTCCTCTCCCATTTTCTTGATTTATTCAGAGAGGTGGATAATGTGTACACAGATACTATTATGCCCTGAATATTGCTCTTTGTTTAACAATTGTTTTCAGTGAGTGATACCATGCTCACATTGGTATTTAATCATTTAACCATTTGTAAAGCCTATGGCAAAAGCCCAATGCAACAAATTAAGTTCAGTTAGTTCCCTGGTACACAAAGATCATGTGAATTACTGTTGAAAGCACAGATACATTCAACAGGTGGGAGTTAATCACAACATTTCACAGGATGTTCAGCCAAAGAGTCATTAAAGGCTTTTAAGCAAAGCTCATTGCAAATTCAGCCTTAGTTGCTTGCCTACACAGCTCAAATTCAGTCGGATCAGTGCATGTAAGCACATTCTGGATACCTATAAACAGACTAACAGAAATTTGTGAAACAAAAGGAGAATTGAGGAAGATAGGATCTGGTGGATGAGAAGGAGTGAGATTACTCCTGCTACCTTTCATCCACGGTTTTTTTGATTGATCTTCTAGGGCATGCAGTTGCCAGTCTTTGTTAAGATGGAGCTATCTGAAACCTGGTTTAAATAAAGCTGGCAGTTATCATTTATCCTATAAATGCATATATCTGAGATTACTTTCCTTTGATCATGTCTCCTGAATCACTGGATGGAAAGAACAGAGTGATATTCCTTTTGGGTATGGATGCAGAGATTAATTGAGGTCAGGGCTGCTGCAGCAAATAAAACTGGCTAGATACAGAATGCAGCCAGGAAATAAACTTTCACGGGAAGTAGGAAAGTTCAAAATCTCTTCAGTACAAAAGGCGTTACACAAAGATTATTCCTAAAGACTGTCAGACTGCTTCTTCTGGTGACCACATTTCTCATGGAAAGTCTAATTAGAGGTTCTAGCCCTCAAATGGTATAAAATACTTGCTGTGCCAATAATTTCAAATTGGTTTAAGGTGGTTCACAAAAAGAGGATTTAGTCCCAGGAACTCATTGCAGCTTATTTGGTGGTTGTGACCATTCAGTAACACCACTGGAAAAGTACATCATGATGACGGAAGATGAAGTGATCTCTTCACAGAAGTAAGCAATCTCATTAACAGCAATGGTATATTCTCACCAGAAAGGCAAGTCAGATTTTGAAAGATCTATTTCACAGCAATTTCTAAGGTAACTCAAACGCAAATTAACATTGCAATTTCTGAGCCTAACGCTGCTGAGAGAAGCCTCATTCTATAAATCTCACAGAGTGTTTGTACAATTGAGCTGGTCAAAGATAAGTTCTTAAGCATATTATTAAAGAGTGGGAGTTGGGCCTTACATACCGTTAGTACTTGAAACAAAATTCAATCTTTGACAAATTCTGAAGATGCTCAAAAACACTGATATACAAGAAAAATTAAGGTTCCTTAGGAACTACAAAAACCAAGAAAGTTTTTTGAACATAGTCATTCTTTGTAACAATTATAAAAAAATGCTGGTTTTCCTGGTCTTTGCTTAGTGCTAACCCCCAGACAGGAGTCAGTCCCTGACTAAAATTCTAATAAAGGAAATTTTATATGCCAAATTTTATTTATTTTTAGGGTAGATCCAAGAAAACCCAGGATATTAGAGAATCTCTTATGAAATTGCAGAACAGATAATTTCACTGAGTTATTCCTTTGTACAAGCAACAGAAAGAGCATCATCTAGAATTGGAAATAATAAGACAATCAGATCACCATTATTAAGTTATGACATTCAAAAATAAATTTTGCCTACAAAAGAAGAGTGAGCAGGGAAGCATTTGAAGGACTTGGGACAGCATGAGGGATATAAATTTTTTAACATAATAGAGATTGGGGAAAGGTAAAACTACAGCTGTTTCAGTAATGTCTTTGCTGTTCTGCAGAAGAAAAGGATGGACAGAAAAAAGCTCAATTATGCTTATTATTTTTAAAGAAGTCTATTCTTGATGTCTGACTGTCTTACTCATTCGAATACACACTGTAATGTTCTGCACAGTGGGAAACTGGGTCCCATGGATTTTCCATGACTGAGTAATGAGGAATATTTTAAAAACCATTTGCACCTTTCTTCCATCTTCAAAAAAAAAAAAAAAGAAGAAAAGAAAAGAGAAGAGAAGAAAAAAACTTACATCTCCCATTTAGATTGTGCGTGTCCATGAAAGAGAAAGCTTCGTCACAGTTGGTGCCTTGCTCAGTGTAGCTTTTATCCATTGAATTCACCATCACTGTCATTTCCTGCCGTGTACTACTCAATGTCTCTTTCCGCTTTTTAGCCAATTTTCTTAAGAAATGAATGTTGAGGAAAAAAAAAGAAAAAAAAACCACTCAGTGAGCAGACATAGTCTTCATGTTTAGATCGGTATTATAGGTTGTAACCACATTGTTAAGTAACAAATTTACAATTATTCCTGCATTTCTGGAGACGTAAATTAATTTCACACTCATGTCTTTCAATGGCATCTGTTAATTAAGAGATAGTTGCCAATGCCTTGGCTTATAGTGAACAGCACCTTAATCCTTGGGGACCACCACTGAATTAAAGGGGACTACTTGGATACAAAGGCGACGTGAGCTACTGTATCAGAGGCTACATCTGTTTAAATACATAAATAAAACTATCAGGAGAGAAGACTTCACTGGAACTGACAAATCAGTAACAATTTTCACTTTGCATGCATAGAACTGTCTGGAGCTGTTTCATTGAGACACCATACAATACAGCTAAACTGGTTTACATCATACTGTATATTATATGTCTAATCTCTTAAGACAGTTTGTACAAGCAAGTGACATTTTAAATTGACTTGCATTTCTTAAGACTATTTTCTATCACTCTTGACTTCAGGAGAATTAGTCACAAGAGTTAGTTGCTTCTCAGCAGGAGTGGTCTGCCAGAGACAAGATCTTGATTCTGATACCATAACAGTGATTTGTTAAGCTATAGAACTGCTTTTGATGCATACACCTCCTTTTTCCAGATCTGTCTGTTTCTGTCTAAACTAAAATTTCATTCTGTCTCCCCCAGAGTTATGCCCAGCTACCATCACAAAATAACATGTCCAAAATGCTTGATTTTTCCTTCAAGCTCTGCAAGACATCTGTGATCCTGATGATGGTGGATCCCATGCCCATTTGGCTTGTTTCCCTGGCCTGCGACTCTGTCTTAAACCAATCCTTTCTCCAAGTCCTTGCCTACAGCCTTTGTTTAAATTTTCCAGATTCCTTCGGTATAGCATCTTCAAGGTATGGGTTTTACACAGAAATAACTGCTCCACAGACTTTGATCTTCTCATATCTGTTTGTTGAATGACTTTTCCTCTGTGGAAAACACAATGAGCCAGCTCATATCCACCCGTGAGAAAGACCTTTTAGATATCTTCAACCAGAACTCACAGGAGCTCATTATCTCATCTATGTTTCCTTCCACTTCTAGAGGCCTACTGCATCAAGCATAACCAAGATGCGCTCTCAAAACCTTTCTCTTTGTTAACTCTCAGTATGGCAGAACATGAAAATGATTCCCACCACAGACAAAAATTTTATACCAGCCTCCATTAGATTTTCAAACAAGCACATGTTGTCTCCCCTCATGTTGCATGGGAGGAGCTTTCTGTAAACCTGCCTACTGGTAGCTCACTATTCTGCTTCAAATCACTGCCTGCAGACACACTTTGCAAAGTACTGATACTACTGCCCGCTGTGCTGATCAGTATTGCCTCAGAGTCTCCCCATGCTCCTCATCTATCTACCTGTTGTCTCTTATACCTAGATAACAAGCCATTTGGGCAGGAGCTATGGATGTGTTCTGTACTCATATAGTACCAAGCTCAGCAGTATCTTAGTCCATGACTAAAGCTCAAAAGGCCTTTGAAACTAAAGTCTTGCTGTTAACAGAGGTAGCAAATGCAGGCATGGTATTGGGTCATTGCACACAAAAGTTATTAAGGATCACCTTTGGCCCTCAATAAGCTGCTGGATTGCCACTCCATTCATGAGGGCATGTCCCCATGACTGAAAGTGACTGAAATACTCTGCCTTAAAAACCTGCTAAAGTACTGGCAGTAATCAGTAGTGTGTACCTCTTTGCTCATCCCCGCTCCGAAGTCACCTGCGTTACCCTGAGCCACCATGAACACACTAGATTGTGACTGATGCTGAGAAGGAGAGCGCTTATGGTCAGTTGGGCGGCAGCCACTTGTGGGACTTGTCCTACACTAAGCATTTAGACATGCAACAAAAACTCATCCATAAATGCTACTGTGCATTTCAAAATTCACTAATGATGATATTACAGTCCAGCTACAAAAGAGTGTAAGATAAACAGTAACAAGTCACATCCTTCCTGTAGATTAAGTTTAACTCCTGATTTTGTAATTTGGCATATCATTGGTGGACAGCAAAAATAACTCATAAACAATGGTTTTGTTTCTAAATTTTAATTTCATTTTAATCTAAGGAGATTAAATGGAGGAACTTAACAAGTCCCTTTCTGATCAACACTAAGTTACTTTGCAGACTTGATAACAAAACTGGTTCTTTATTACTTCACAGTGAATAAATGCAGAGGGGACCATTAGATAATCTAGTCTGAACTATTTTATATCAGAGACAGTAAAATTTCACTCACATACCATAAGTAAAACAAAACTCTTACATCTTTGCACCCTTCAATCTCCCCTCTCCTTTATATCTAATTGTAATGAATGAGTGATATATTATTTAAAGTAGAATCTGAGATGTATCTCCTAATGCATGAACAACTTAATGGAAGTCCTTTATAAGGACAGGCTTATAAAAGCAGTAACATGAAATGGATATATTTTCTCCTCTTTCCACCCTTAGCTCAGATGGCAACACATTAAGTCATGCACGGCTCCTCTTCTGATCCTCTTTAGCGTTAAGCTGAAAATACATACAGCTGCTCCCACCACCTGCAAACCACTGGGCAATTCCCAGCTTAGCTGGGTTGTGAAACCAGAACTGTGGACAGCGTGATCACTGAAACTTCATCCGTAAGGCACATATCATACTTAAATTTTATTTCACGGCTGTGCAGATCGTAGGAAAGTACTTCAGGACAATTCAGCACTAGAGCAATCCTTCAGGAAGGCATGCAGAAGCAGCTTTTCTTCACGAGTCTTCCCTCTCTTCAGGCTGGAATGAACAGCTTCTCTTTAACCAGCTGCCAATCCCATTAGCTACCTAGACACTGCATACTCACTAAAGCCAGGAAACTGCAGTATATAGTGGCCTTCCCTTGCCCATCAGTGGACCTGTGAGTATTATCTCTATTCACAAAACCTTTAATCACTGTCAATCTCACAAGCTCAGCACTTTCTCCAAGAACTCTTGCATGCGAACAATGTACTGGTGAACAGGCAACAACTCTTCCTTAACAGTTTTCTAAAGAAAAGTTACTAGATAATTGCCCTGGGCAACATTATAGTGATACTGAGCTGTATCTGAAAATCCACAATGTGGTAAAATATATGATGCCAGCCACTCAGTGGGATTACAAAAAAACCCCCATGCTCTGTAGGGTGCACTTCTTAAGCATCTGCTGCTACAGGGAACATCCTTTATTTTACAGTAAAAACTGTATTCTTCCCAAGGAAAGTCAGAGTTCTTGCTTATTACACAACAATATGAAGCTCAAATTTTATAAAAAGTCAGCTAATTTTCTTAAAGAAATTACAATAACATTTTCTAATTTCCTTCATTTTTGGTTTTGGTCCCATAATCAAGCTATAGCAGATTGTTTTTATGACAGTAACAACTGCACAGTACTTCTCAATCTGAATCTAATTCTGGAAATCGGTCTTGTGGGAAAAGTTCAAATCTGAAACAACTGTTACAGGAAGAGAGTGATAGCAGCCAGACTTTTGTACTGTGAACAAAAACACCCACTGGACTTAGCCAAGTAAACTTTAGCTGAATACAACATTTTTTACATCTGCAGTTTTCAGATCCTTTTTTTCCTGCTGAAAGTGTTGCAGTGCTGCAGTCTCTGTAACTCATCCATTCCTTGGATCTCTCAGTCCCTGGGAGGCTCTAGCTATACAAGGTTTAAGAAACTCCTGGTACTTCACATCACCATCACCACTCATGGTCTTGGATTTGAAGTAGATTTTAGGGGGGGGGAAAGACTTAAATATTTGATCATCTTCACTCACGGAAAAAATACTTCATAGCTACTCTCTGAAGTTTCCTCCTTCTTAAAGGAAAAGAGATCTACAACCAAAGGAAAAAAACAAACATATGGAAGCTCCCATGATGATTACCTAGGGTGAAATTCTTTATTTTAAAAATGATCAGTTTATCACACAAATAGTGTTAGCATCACTATGAGGAAAGAGAATATACTGTACCAGTCTCAGAAAAGAGGAGCCTGATATTCAGAACAATCTCAAGACTAGCTAGGAACTGTTGGTATTTTAAAGCACAAGAAATTGCGTGAAGTGAGCTGGTGTAATGGTAAAAATATGGTAAGATACAGAGCAGACAAACATACAGACTCACCCAAAAAAATTGTGTGGGATTTCGGGTATCATTTACTCTGTTCTGTTACAAATATTAATAAAATCTGCCTAGGAAAATAATAAGCTAACAACTTCATCACAATCTGTCCTCATTTTATCTGTGACCATGAAACTCTTAAATGCTGCATCTTCTCCTGTACAGTCCCTTCTGGCTGAAAGGATCACTTTGTAAAGACTGACTCAATACCTCCCTCAAAGTCCTTCTTCTCTGTGATTTCTCCCTCAAACCCTCCAACAAACCAATGGCAATAGCTGTTAAGTTGCTGCTATGTTATCAGCCTCTGTTTGGTTCATTTTCCATCTACTTACCTGTATTCACTTTCTCTCTCCTGTCTCGACTTAAATAACAAGCTCTTTGGGACCTTGCTTGCCTTTTCCCTTTGTATTTATAAAGCACTAGGCACAAGGCACAATGGGAAACTACCACAGTTAAAGGAATGTAACAGTAAAAAAAAAGAAAAAAAAAATAATGACTGGGGCTGACAATCAGAATCAACTCAGGCTCTGAATAGGCCTTCCATTTCAATTTAGGAACAGTGAGGAAAGCATATTTATTTAAATCAAGCAAAAGCACTCACTTCCTTCTTCGCAATTCCAAACTGAGTGGTACTCCCCTTTTTGTATCAGTATGCCTCCTTTCTTACAAATAAAGAAAGCGGAAACAAGACGCTGCTACTTTCCACAGCTCCAGGAACACATTACCATCACCAAGATATTAATAATACAGTGAGATGAAAGTTCT